TGTGCTTCAAACCCCGCCACCGCAACCCAACTTTGGTGATTCGGGGCTTTACTTCTGTCCGGTTCAATACCACGCCTAACCTATCAAGGCCTGGTAAGGTTCGCCACTGCAGGTCCAAGGACATTGTGACTACAGTGTCCACCCAGACCTCCATTTAGACTTGCTCCTTATTTTTGTTGATCTTTAGCAAGACGGGCTTGTTTAATGACCGACGTATTTCTTGGAAAAACAAAATTTGCTACATTTTCCTATGAATGGAATTGTACATNCATATTTATATGAGAAACAATGATCCCAGACATTTTTCGTCCGAAAAATCACTTGTGACTCTTAGTCAGACATCAGTTGTATTCACTGAGCACATTTTTGCTAGGCGATTAAATAATCAATGGATTTATAAAGTTACCTGAAAAGGAAGGTGTACCAATACATACCGAATTTTCTTGGGAGTCACCAGGGTTGTTATCGTTACTCCCTATCAGGGCATTTCGAGGAATGCAATGCTGAATGTGTAGAGAATTCAGATAGAAGAAATCCCCCACCCGTTAGTCGGTGTACGCGTTTGCGAAGTATGCCGTGACCCGCAGGTCTCTGGCACTCATTTGGATAAATGGTTAAGGTCAGCATATCACCGATTCGGAAGTCGTGTATTCGAACACCGCTATGGCTACCCACCCTCTGCAATCCGTGTTTAATTGGCTGCGTATTAGATGAGTAGAATTGGAATAGAACAACTGTTTCCATTTGGTTCTATAAAGCCTTTCCCGTGGATTGGTCAACCCTCATCTGTTTATCGATGCACCAGGTTCCTTCATCTAAGTTCCATTTCGTTCTTTCATCAGACCAATTGAAAATTAGATCAGCGGTGACCAGTCCACGGAAGTGGAAAGGCTTCAAGTAACCGTATAACATAGCTGAATGAGGAGACACTTTCTCTTTGTGAGGTTTGAGAACTAGTGAATGAAACATGGTTTGCAATTCCCCAGGAGGAGATGTGTTCGAGATCGGAGTCCACTAATACATTAACTGCACTACCGTCACCATCGATGTTGGTTTGGGCATGACGAGCAGTGAAGGGTGGCGTCATCAGCAAATGAACATGACTGAATGGCCAAATTGAACAGTCCTTTCTTAGGGTTGCGAATATTCTCCACCGATTGTGGGGGCCAGTCACAACCAATGCGTTGCCAATGACTACCACAATTCAACACCGGTGCATGCGATCCAAAAGATTCAAGTATAATTTTTGGCCTGTGCAGAGGATAATTATTTATCGACTTTTCATGGAATGCGATAAACAAAAGCTATATCAGAATCATGACAAAGATTTTCAGGTGCTTTATTTTTATTCATTGTACCTGATGATGATGGTAGAACCGTACCGATGATGGAAATTAATCATGTGTCCCATTAGTTATTTATTTTGAAACTCTCTGGTAGCGAACCAGACATGTTTTTTTTTCTAAAACCTAGAACTGATTGGTTGCTACATCAACATGCTCTGTGGGTAGGCGTTTTCCTCCATCATTGACAATAGTAAGTGAGGGTTGTTGTCCCCTAACGTAGTCCTACTCCTGAAATCCATTCGCGACAAGTCTTTCACATCGATTCGTTTGACATTACTTGGAAGCATGACTCCTAATAGAAATGGCACATTTCAGCGTCATTTATAATGTTTTCTTTGGTCCTTCGCATCACAATGTGGAGGAATGATGCGAAACGTAGTGATATCATCCTTTGACCTCATTCAAAAACGTGGTAAGTAAGGGCCAAACATGACTTACAACAGACAACGCTTAGCACATGACCGCTAACACTTCCTTCTGATTTATTTGAGTTCACTTACTTATGAAGAAACACGGGAGCCTCGCTGTGACCGGTACCCTGGCTACGAAAAGACTGCGAACAACACATCTAGCTAGGAGAACACATAGACAACAAGAACTAACGGTATCGCTCGTCAAACCGATGACTGTGTAATACAAATTGAGGAGGTCGATTCTGAACAAATATAATATAATCATGGATACATCTCAGAACCTCTCAAAGTCACTGCAATTAATCCAGTCACCGAAAAACCGCCCGTTTGCGGTTGCTTTCCACGCGATTTGCCCACCTAAATGGAATTTCTTTTCGTCGCCCTAACAGTCAGAATTCCTTTTGGAGTTCCCAGTTCGATAGTTTTCCACCCACATATAACAGCAACTGTTTGTGAGGTTTTCGGAATTAAGTAACTTCGCATCATTTTCTCCTTCATCTAACTTCTTTTTATCGAATATNGAATATATAAAGATACAGTTTTCAGGAAGAGAAAGCGGCCAATCAGAGTACTGCCGTACATCTACTGGTATTTCGTTCCGGTCCGTTGTATTCATCAGCATCCACTACACCATCGGCATTCTTAAGGGTGAAAACAGTTTGACAGTGGAAGACCTAATGGCATCATTCATTGAAGTAGTTTTGCACCCAATTCAGCAGATGTAGCTCAGAAGTCTTGAGTAGTCCGCACCAGGTAGTATTAGGCCGAGACTTTTCCTTTTCTTCCTTTGGTATTGAAGTGATGTGGACATTACACTATTCGTCAGCTAGCCTACCTGACTGACTGTCACTGACCTTATCAACAAATCCAATATAAAAAATGCTGATGTTCATTTCCGTCGACTTATCTTACACGTCTGC